TTCCATTGCCACTCTTTTCTAATTAAGAAAGAAAAGCTCTGGCTGCCCCCACTGAAGATAAACCTCCAGTAAATGCCTGCACAGAGCAGGGCAGCCCAGTCCAGATGGGTCGAGTCAGGGGGAGGAGAGGGCTCCTGCGCGCTGCCTTGGCTCAGATAGCACTGGCCAAACACACTGAGTCCTGCCAGGGAAGAATTACTCATCTCAGTTACTTCACAAAACTGTCCTGTTTCACCGTCACTACTAAGCTATGGCTAGATCCTTTTCAAGACCAACATCTCCTTCTAACACTCTGCCAGTTTGCAGAGCACACGGTGCACCCTGAGAACGTCAGTCATGCTGCTGTTGAATGGGCAATTGCTCTCTCAAATCCCTGCCAGTACACCCCTATTTGACAGAAACACGATTGGGACCTTTGTCTCCCTCTTTTATCACCCACAAGCCTTGCAGCACGTCTTTCAGAAGAGCTGCCATGCAGGACTAGTGACATTTGGCAAGAGGAAGCTTTATCCAGTATTATGGTCTCATTTACATAGGTCTGTACCTGGCTGAGAAACCTGAGCAATAGACTTCATCAAGTAAACACGTACAAGGCATGAGTCAGTACACGCAGCCTGTTAATAACCAGCACCTGCGACCTGCACAAATGAGTCACAACAGTCAAATCACAGGGTACAAAGACTTAGCAAAAAGGGAATGTTAAAGTGCTAAGCTGCCGGAAATAACACTGATAAGTAGCATAAAACAGTCTTACCACAGAGCAAGTCTTTGCTCAATTTCCTTGAGAAAACCAGCATGAAATTTGTGCAAAGGTTCAAAGTTGGAGAAAATTAGATTCTTCAGTGTATCGGACATGCAATCCTCTTTATTCACTGCACTCTGAAACCACTACAAATGGGGGAAAAAAAAGCAAAGTTATCAAGGGCATGCAAGAAACACATACATGCCTAACACATATACACCTAACCCAGGAAGGACCTGTTTAGCTGGCGCTAAGAATATAACTCAGGCTCCTCTTGACAGTCCGTGCTGAACTGGTGCTCTTATCAAAGATCAAGCCTTGCTTGGCTATAAAAGAAACTCCCTTCCTCACTATCACTGTTAATAAAATCCTGAAAATTCTTTTCAAGACCAAACTGGTTGGTCAGTTCTGCCTGAATTTGCAAGTATTGCAGGTGTAAGAAGAAAATACAGGGTTTCAGTTGAAATAAAAAATATTTTCTGCATTTTCATTGCCTACTGCTGTCTGAAATCCCCTTGGCAAGAGCTGGTACAGTAAATACTGAAGCCCATGTTGCTGTGTGTGGACAAAGAACATCATGGGATCAAAGAACACCATGCAATTTGTAAAGTAGAAGCACAGCATATTGCACTTCCAAGTCAAGATGCTAGTCTCAGGGTTAAAAGAGTCAATACCAAACACTATTCAGAATACCAGAGGTGCCTGGAGTGAGCTTTGGTCCACTCTTAACTTCACTCTCATAGACATTTGGGTCAATCAGGCTATGGGGCTTGCCGAAGCGGCATGGACTACTATCTTCAACATGATAACACTTCTCACTCCTCATCGTCCCAAGGCATTCCAGCTACCTGTGGTTGACTTCCAGCAGTTCCTGGAAGGCTGTTGGAAGCATGTATACATTTCAGCAGTCTTAGTTGCTGCATCATCTGCATCAGCCAGAGTTGGCTCAGACATAAACATAAACAGATACCCAAACCAAGTCTCCCTCTCCCCCACTTCTGCACTGAGCAAAGCGAAGGTAGGTGAGGATCTACCAAGTCTGATATTTCATGGACAAGGCTTGCTCTTTCCACCATCTCCAAAGGCACTGGTTATTTGCTGCTAGGTTTGCAGCAATGGCTACTGTCCCACATAGGTTGATCTCTTTTTTTATTGCCTGGTTCCCCAGAGAGTCTGAGATAGGAAGCAATGAAGCCACAGCTATCTTTCTGCCCAGACCAACTGCATCTGCCATGTGGCCTCCTGGAACAAAACAGGGGGTGAGGAGAAGGTGTCTCTTATTGGCTGCTATAATAGGCTCTTTCCTGCATCATGGCTCCTTATCATACTGCTCAATGCAGGAGGAGGCAATGCACCCTAAATGCACAACCCTGGCAATGTTTCATTTACTAAAGAGCAATTAAAGAGCTGGGAAGTCTGGAACCATCAGGATTGCTGAAACACAATAAAAGATCTTGGATCCAGTACCCTCTTACAGACAAATATTGTTTAAGGCCAAGTCTTGCACACATTACACTTAAAAATCAAAATGGATTGTTGCTGCCTAGAAAAAGAAAACACAGACCTGTCTTGGTGATTTTAACAACCATCATACTCTGAACAGGTAGGGAGATACTATAAGATAATGAGTTCCTTAAGAGTTTAACTTACTACATTAACCAGAACCATTCAAATAGGTCCTATGACAGTATTTCATGTTGGAGAACATTTGAGCCAGGAAAAATATTCATAGTTCCTCTAGGGAGCTACTTCAGTTTTAAGAGAAATCATTGAAAACCCACAGGCATTTTTAATAATTGCAACCACAAAGCAAGAGAGAGAAGAAAAAATAACCGAACTGTGTTTCAAGTTCTTCAACCTGAAATAGTTTTGTAGTGCACATCGCTAACCACAGTGCAAATTTCTGCTTTCTGATTCTTGTGTTCCTCCCTCCCTAGAGTTGTACTCCTGTGCACTGCAGAGAATCCTTAAGTGCAGAATATGAATATAAAGAAGCTGCATGGCACACTCGGATGTTAAATGGAGCAGATGAAACGCTACTGCTGACTAGGGCACCACGTTTCATGAATAATGCTCAAGTAAACATACCGACGTGATGACTTCAAGGTCCTTCAGGTATGTGCGTTCTGTGGTTGCGACTTCTTTAGCAATGAAGTAAGCCTTCTCAGTTGGGAATCTCTGCAAATTGCAAACACGTTAGGTTTTCACCTGCTTTTCTGGAGCTGCCTTCTGCAGAAAAAAATGCAGACAGCAATCACAAGATAGCTACAAGTTAGTGACCCTTGCTTGTGGTTATGGTGACTCATGCTTTAATGAACCTAAGCCCCGAGAACAATCTTTCCCTGCAAACAGAAGACAGCAAGCACTTTCTATGAATTCTTGAGAGATTCCTTTCAGCTAAGGTTATTTCCATAACTCTGGGGTGCTGATGTTCCTTTAGGCTTGCTCTATGCTTCTGGAGCACGGCATATTCTGAAGATCAGAAAGAAATTCCTTGCCATTAACAACTGCCATTAACCCTTGCCAGGTAACCATTTCATCAAACTTGAAAAAATGTTGCACCAATTAGTGTGTGATTCTTAAAAGTTCCATTGGTGGGGTAAAGTCCTACAGCAAAATACTCTCAAGAAAGATAAACACAGAAGTTTTTGCCAGGGCAGCTGGACGACCTAGCAGTGGGTCAGGATAACAATCTACTTTTGTTATCCAAGAAGCAAAGTCATTAGTAGTTTTAACCTCTTAATTCCAAACAGCCCAAAGATCCCAATCATCTTGGTCTTGGTGTTGTTCAGGAAGCACAAAAGAGCAGCAAAACAGCCACAGACCTTTTGCTTCCCTGTTTCCTCCCTCAAGGTCATCAGTGCAGAGGATGCACTGGATAGTCGTGCGAGCAGAGAATGTGGGAGCATTTCAGTGTGCACCCCCATGGGAGCCACTATCACTGGTGTGAGGCACAGACACCACTGGGCTGCTCTTACTTGGACTGGCACAGAGAACTTCAAGTCTGTTAACTGACCCTTGGTTTTTCTTCCCCAGTTCCTCCCATGTAACAGCTCACTAGGGATAGTGGGGAAGGAGGAACCCCAAACTTCTCCCCTTCCTTTCCTACCCTTCCTTCTTTTTTTTCTCATGTGCTCCCAGCTCAGGAAAGCAGGCAACCCCAGCACAGGAGGAAGCCCCTCTCGCCCTGCAGCACAGCAGGCAGCCAGCGAGGGAGGCTGCTGGGCTGCTGCAGGAGGGGTGAGCCAGCCCAAGCCCAGGACACCTTGGCTCACAGTCACTTCTGTCTTTGAGAAACAGTTTTGAATTTGATGCTCCCCTGTGGCTGTGCTGCAGTGATGGGGCTGAGCCAAGTATTTACAGCTGAATGTTGAGGGTTGTGGCTCAGAGGAAGCATTTTCTACACCCACAACCATGTGCAAGAGTTACTCCCAGCAGAGATTGCCTGGAGAGCAAGGGTTGGACACTCCTGCACAAGGCTCAAGCTGTCTCTTTAATCCCTTGTCACCTGGAAATTCTCCATCCAGTAATGTATTGGATTTGAGGGTTTTGTTAAAGCAAGTTACTTAGTCCATCTCCTTAAAAACATGCTAGATTTATAAATAGAAACCATGTCAAAACAAGCTCTAGAAGCTGCAGCCAAAAAGACTGGCCAAGATTTTTTTTTCCACAGTAACTTTGGAGACATGGAGCTACTCAGTTTCTCTCTACTGCTTAGAGAGAGGCACTGGGGGCCCTGGCTCCTGCCTCTATGTTCAATAGGATGAATTTAGGCCTTTGAGCTCTCAGCTACAGCAAATTCATACTTCTGGCCTGACCCACTCTGAACTGCATGAGTTCTGCCACCGGAGCTCACGGACACTCTTGGCCACTATATGAGAGCGGTTGGCAGACACCAAGTGACTCCATTCAAGGTATTTGTGTGGACCTACAGTGAGGAAGCAGTAGGGGTCTAGATATTAATCGCTTGACAAACAGCTGCAATCACCACACAACGTGGAGAAGAGAGCCAAGACCATCTGTTTTACCTTCCTTTTGACCTCTTCCTCATCATCAGTCCTGATGCATGATGGGTCATTCAGCAAAGGGCTGATCAGGGGAGATGCCTGCTTGGCATCAGGGCTCAAGTTTGGAGATAAGGACATATTTGCCACGGATGGTCCTCCTTGGGAATTGATGGAAAGCTCTGAAAGGTGAGGGCTGCCAGTCAGAGAGCCTGCTAAAGAAATGAAAAGACAGAAAATCCAGTTAGGGCACATTTTCTCCAGAGGATACCGAAAGTTACAATCTTGAATTGCAGCATGGGAAACTACCCTACAAGATACAGTCATCAGGGTCCTCAAACTAGTCCAGATGGACTCTAAATCAGAGGAGATGCACCCACTTGCACTAACTAAGGGACTGAAGCAGTTTTTTAGCTGATGAAACTGGCTGGAGTGAGTGTCTCTATGAGGTGTGAAGCCATAAATGACTGTGCTGCAAAGATTTACTTCTAAACACCAAATTCATGCCAAATTTTTCAACATTGTAATCGAATCTAAGAAACAGAATAGTTTCCTCAATTTTAAAAGCAGTGTACACTACAATAAATGCATTGTAATGGTGCCACGCTAGGAGCACCATTCTTTCTAGCAAAGTACATGGCTGAAGACTCAAATCAGCTTAAATACTTCATTGGGAACTACAGGATACACGTTAGAACAAATATATCTTGTGAAAGGTTACAGAAAAAGAAACATAAACTTTCTACGGCAGTGTTGCTCCTAAGTAACAACAGTCATCTCTAACATGAAGGGAGAAAACTACTATTTCCCCAATTTCTACACACAACAGAAGTATGCATATTATACCTTGTAGGTCTCTCCATGCTCCTCTGATTGTTTGGGATGGAAATGCTAGCATTACATTTACATAAAAAAGCAGTATTTTTAATGCAGAAAGCACGACAATTTTAGATTATCACAGATATAAAGCCCCATTTAACTCTGAATTTAAAAAAAGGACAATTAATTACACTTCCATGGATTCATATACACTACATTAAATAATACTGAAATCAGCATTTTGTCTCTCGGGAGGCAGCCAGACTACTGACTGCACAAAGGAAAGAGTTTGCCAAAATGTCCTCCCAATTGTCCCCTCCTCCAAATCTATGAAAATCTATGAAAATCTAAGCCTTTTTTTAAAACTAGAAATTGGATCTTTCATATGGAAAAATATTTACAGTCTGTTTTGTTTTGGCATCATACCTTAAAATCCAACAACAACAAAAAAAACATAACGAGCTCCTAGTTGCCACAGCTAATAGGCTGTCTAGGACTAAATGTAAAACACATACATCACCATATATACTTAAGGTCAAATACATATTACTACGATGTGTTTATATCCTCTCTAGATTATATTAGTTAAGTGTTCCTGTAACTGCAACATAGCTGAGACACTCCAGTAAACAGAGGCACCAATAAATATAATTAGGCCAGCAGTAAAACCTATTTATTTTCTGGAAGAACTCAGATTTATTGCTAGAACATGAATGTTTTCCAATTCCAAACCAGTCCATGTTTATATATCATTGCTTTGAAAGAGAAAGAAAAAACAATACAGTTATTAGTTTACGTAATCATGACAGTTATGTAGCCTATTATAAATCAAAGTCGAAGCAGTATTTGTCTTGGAAGTTCTGTATTATTACAGCTAGCAAGAACGGATTTACCAACAGTTTCACACTAAATCAATGTTCAGTGAAATTTGAGAAAATGCCACAGCTTGTTACACAAATGTCAATTTTATTGACACTAGCACACAACTGTATACAGTGTTTTCAAAAGAAAAGGAATTCGTCATTGAGAAATAGTGAAACAGGTTAATAGCAAGGTTGAAAAGTTAAAAGTACTACACTCTGCATTACAAAAGACATAAGAAAAGTGATGTTACCTCAAACGTGGAAACAAAGAAATTCTGGCACTATGCCTGTCATACGACAGCAAGTAAGTGGTTTGCACCTCTGTGAGAAGTTCACAGGCATGATATTCTAGAAGTTACATAGCACCTATCTGTGACAGATAGATATAAGTTGACATATCTACCCACCTATTTACAAACCTAGATCTAACTTCTGAAGTATGCAATTTTTTTCTCAGTACACCTTGAGAATTTCAAACTACAAAATATCAAATGGACAACGAATTAAAAAGACTTTCTAATCTACACTTGGAAGACAAGACTTGGGAAAAGTACCGTCATTAAAATATTTGCCTGGCGGCTCACAGCTTTTAAGATACAACCCATCACTTAAAGACTTGCACACCAATACATCACTGACATTCTCAAAGTTATTTTGCAGCAAGTTAAAATGCTACATTTGGGTATTAGTGTGGAAATGAGCAGCAAACAAATCCAACCACCACACCTAGAAGCGAGAGCTCAGTTAAGACTACTAGAAACCCCATGGGAATAACAATGTGCTGAACAACCGAAAATTAAAGCTAGATATAAGAAAGTGGCAATATTGCAAAAGTGCCTCAAGATGCTTTCAGCTGATTAGCAGATTTTGGGGCCTAATTACAACCAACACAGCCATAAAGACACACGGGATGTCGTTCTGATTAAGGTGGGAAAAGGGACTTGTTCTGCTGTGAGAAATTCAATAGGTCATGAAGAAATGAAAGCTGGAGGTCTTCTCTCCACCATCGCCAATCAACCAGGACATGCATCATGCTGATGGGCCATGACAAGCATTGCAATGTGACTTTCTCCTTTACATGGTGGTGAGGAACAAGTAACCTACATTAACCAGACAAGATTTTCTCTGACCTCTTGCCAAATATAGACTCTACACATCAACTACATACTGCAGAATATGAAGAGGAGCAGAAGGGAGAAGAACAACTTTATTTACAAGCTCCTGAAATTGCTCACATTTTACCCTAAAGGATTCTTTGATTGACAGCAAACTATTAACATGTCAGTTGTTAGATGTCAAGTGGCACTGCATGGCACACGGGAGGCTGAAAGGGTTTGCGGCTGGTGAAAGCAGTGGTCCTGGCTCATATTCTAGCTAATTCCCATTCAGACTCTAAGTGGGGGCCTATCTTTCAAACATAAGGGAGTTATCTATACACATGGAGAGAGCAGCTAAAAGATGCTTACCAAAGGATTGTTCAAGCACAGAATAAAATATCTGTGGGGGAGGGGGCAGGAATTAAGTATGCGCTTCAATTCTTTTTCTGAAGTTGGATTTAAGAAGAGAAACAAATAATCATTGATGACAGTGACAAATAATGGGATTGCACCTGGCTTTCTATAAATTATCACAGTATGTAGGATTAGCCCATCAATGCCAAAACACCCGTTTTGTTGCTTTGAGCTAGCTTACCATTATGATATTGGGAAAAAACGTTGCTGCAGTAAGGAAGGTGACAGCAAAAGTTAACACTTATTAAAAGTTAATTTGAAAAAAAGAAACAAAATTAAGAAAAAACTATGGGGTTTTAGACAGTCACAAAGCATGAAACTATGGGCTATTGTCCTAGCTTCAGAAGTGTCAGCCCACATTGACTTACACTTCCCATGTGCTTCCCATGTGCAACATTAAGTCATTGGTTAAAATCAAATGCTTAACAGATATACTTCTGTCAAAACCTACATCATGTCTTAGAGAGTAACTTGATAATGAGAATGCCCAGGCATGGCAGCACATTGCAGGGCATTGGTGCTGAGCTTGATGCCTACAGGGGCAAGCTTGGCCTGGGTGAGCAAAATGGCTTTAAAATATGTTCAGCACCAGGGAATAAAACAGTGCTCGTAATTGCAATGCATCAGTTCATGAAGAAAGTCCCTCCCAGAGGCCAACCCAAATCATAGGCAGGCTACATAGCACTCTACCAGTTTGTTTAGACTATGTAGACAGCCTACTGAAATCCCTCACACGGAGGCTTCACCCTAGTGCAGAAGAGCTCTCCTCTTTGTGACGGTAAAGGGGACTCAACATAGCTTGAAAAAAAATCCTCTTTTTACCCCTTCTCCTGAAACTGATGAGTAACAAGCTCATGCCATTTAGTGTTCTTCATCCACTGCCAGTGAACTGGAGTTCCCATCCCTACGCACTGTGGCTAAACAGCAAGGAAGAGCACAGTGGTGCCAAGATGCTCCTGGGATAGAAACATCAACAGCAATTGAAAGAGGCTGAAATTCAAAAATTTGCCAGAAAACCTAAAGGCCTCACACAAACTCAACTGTTAAGGGTTATTTTGTTCTCCAGGTTTACAGTTTTATTGTTAGAAAGTAAAAGGTGTTAAGTCAGAAAGTGCCTTTCTCAATACCTGGAGCATTGCAGGATTCCTGGCATACTCCCTCTTGGGCCTGCTCCACAGCTACTCAAGTCAGTGGAATTTTTGTCAAGTATTACAGAGATGCAGATCCCATTTATTCTGCTTAAAGAGAAGATAAGTGTTTTCTACGCTCCAGTTTGGTAGGTGAAACCCAAACTATTGGCCCTGTGTCCCTTGCATTAACGAGAACACCACTTGTGAATGCTCTTCTCATAAGGCAACACCTGACAGAGCTGCCGCTGTTGTAGCCACAGACTAACATCTGGCTCTCTTTTCCATGGTCACATGGGTTGCGTACCTCTAAACTCTACTCAAAAGGCTTGGTCAGAACCATAATACAGAACGACACAGGGGACAAATAACACCACGTCAGCAGTTTTCAGTACTTTTCAGACAATCGAAGAATCTTAGATTGGAAAAGAGTTTAGTAAGGGTGCCTCTTCTATCTCCTCAGCTGTGAACCAGGCACAGCAGTGCTGCTGAACTAGCAAACATGTTGGATGCAGATTCCCTTCTGCTTCCCTGGAACACAATAACAAACCCCCCACCGACTTCCATGAAAGCTTGAAGGGGACCAATTCACCAGGCTGCCCTTTTCTTCTCCATTAAACAAAGCAAGCTGGACTGCTGGATGCAGTTGTTAGGATGAAAGATCTTGACAAGCAGTTATGCATCAATCAGAAATACATGTACAAACATCCTTGAAAGCAGCAATCATTAATGTGATGAGGAAAAGGAAGGAGAAACATCTCGGGAAGAGATCCGATGTTGTACATAACCAGTAACCCTGCCTGGACGAAGAGGCACATCACAGGGAGAAAAGTTTCCTTTGACTTCACAGCTTCAAAACGTGTGCCCATGGCAGGGCTGGCAGTAAAGGATT